AGAGTTTCCTGGAAGCTGCTGAACTAAAAGAGGCATGCAGCTGCAGAACAACAGGCTATATTTCTTTGTGCCCAGTCTGAGAGAGCTGGAGCTGTAAATTAAAGCTTTTGTTTTATATGCAGCCAGTTCCATACCCAAAGGCTGTATCTGTATGTAATTTTCATTTCTTTCATACTCAGACCTATGAAACAGAACATATGTGCAAAGTTTAGAGATTTCTTACTTTTGTTTCACTCAATGTTATAAATGTTCTTTTCAAGATATATTTATTGAGCAGTTCACGTTTGTATGACAATGGAATTTACAGAATCAGATAGTAGCTCTGTTATTTTGTATATTTTGTACATTAAGATTACATAGCATAACAAAATATAACAAAACATGACTTAATATGATACAATACCCTTCCACGCGCCCACAACCCCAGTCCCAGCTAGTTTGTCATAATGAGAAGCCAAAAAACTATAACATGGTTAAAGCTGCAGAAATGTAGAGGTGCTCAAATTTTACTGATAGAGGAGAGTCTGTCAGAAAGAGTATCTCATATTTGTTCCAGATGTAATGTATTTGCAAGGTCATTAAGCCAGAGCTTTAAAGGGGGTGCATGTCTCTTCTTCCAGTGAGTGAGAATACGTTTCTTTCCGAAGAATTTGAGACATTGAATCAAAGATGTCGACTCAATATTTTTTAACCTTGGGACAAAAAACAAAACTGTGGCAACATATCTTCAGTTAGGGAGCATTTCTCACAGATAGGTTACATAAAATATACCCTGAAGGTCTCTCCTTTCTCTTGAAAAGTGTAGATGATGTAAAGCTTTAAATGGAATCAATCAGTGTCTTGCATTGTAGGAGCATTTATGGATATTCTGCAAACCTTCTTCCTCTTGAATGTCTGTGGTTGCAATACCTAATTCTTGATATGTCTGTGAAGGTTCTCAGTCATCCAGGTCATTGTAGTCAGAGGAGCTTGCAAAGAAAAGTGTCTGTTTCACCCAGTTTCACACCTTGGCTCAGGCGATTAGAGGATCATCAGGGGGTCCTTTTGTTTACTCCCACTAGGTTTATATCTAGGACGCTCCACCATTTGACCTTAGAACTGAAGAAGCTTCTCAGATGAGAGGTGAAACGTCTTCAAGTAACTTAAAGAAGTCCAGATGCTTTTCTTTGCAAGCTCCTTTGACTAATTCTTGATACCGAATTCTTCTTCCCATTTAGATTTTGAACATACATTGTTGATTAAATAAAACCATGCCATTTGTCATATAAATTGTGTCTCGCTCTTCTTGTGGTTCTTATTTTCCACTGTGGCCATAAAAGAAAATGAATTTGCTATCTCTGGAGTAAATGCATGCCTGCAGACCGGAGTAGACAGGTGTCGAACCACCAACCTTCCAATTAGTAGGTGACCTGCTCTACAGCCACCCATAAGCTTACAGCACCTGGTATTGCCAGGCGGTCTCTCATTCAAGTACTAACCAGGCCTGACCCTGCTTAGCTTCTGAGATGAGATGAAAAGGGGCATGCTCAGGGTGGTATGGCTGAAAACTGGCACATCACATTCGGTCCACACAGACATCCTGGATGAAATGGACTACCTGTGCATCCTCTGCAGGTTTCAGGTATCGCCTCATACTACCAGCAGTGACACTGACCATAGCCAAATGCAAAACTAGTGAAAACCACCTGTCCTCCACCTGTAAAACACTTCCTGTTTTGGGGGTTGTGTTTTTGTTGTCCCTCTAGTGGACATGTTCACTAACACTGATTAACAACCCCTCTGATACTTATCTGACCACATCCCACAAGTTTTATTGACTCAATACACTTAGATTCAATAGAGTTCCCTTGTTGTTTTTAGCAGTGTATATAAATAATGTCTTTGTATTTTCAGTGTGTATAGTTAAATAACAAACCACAGGTAAGCTGAAGCTACAAATCCTTCCATTTCAACAGGTGTGTTAATTACTAGAGAAAGAAGATGAGGTTTCGCATTAGTGCCACTAAAATTAGGTTAATTTTCACAGCAATGAAGTTGACAGACACAACCATGAACATTCTTTAATTTATCATTTTTTTATGCCATCTCAGTTCAATCAGAAATCTAATAATCATACATCTGAAAAACAGTGAATCACGACAACAGGTTTAATAATAATAATAATTAAAAAAAAGTCAGTTTAGCATCACACTCCTGCTGCTGACAGCAGCCGTCTGTTCTTCGATCAGATTCACTTCTGCAATACACAGACTTTGGTCCACTCCTGGACAGATGTTTGAGTACAGACTGCAATATGGTAGAATCCTGCTAAATTCATGAAGAATACATTGAGTTGGAAAAAAACCAAACTTTATCACAAATGAAGGCACAGCCAAAGCAGAGGAGTTCTGTGGGTTCCAGTGCTTATGGAGGTTCTCTCTTTTTTGGAATACACAAGAGGAAGAATTCTTGTTGATGGGAAAACAAATGTAATAAATATTGTTCCAAACAATATTTATTGTTTCAAGAAATTACTAAGTGCCATTGCCGTTTCACTGGAAAAAGGCCAGAGAGGAGCGCACATCGACATTTTCAGTTTTAAACTCAATCTCCAGAACTACAAACGCTGCCTCCAACCTGTTTCACGTGGCTTGATGGCTGCAGGTTCTGCTCATTTCAAGTAGCAGAACTACTGACTTCTTGTGCTTTATTAGACGTGTTAGTATTTATTGTAATCACAGTGCTGCACCCTGTCCAGGCCTAGAAATGACACATTTAACAGCATTAATAATAATACAGCACACCAACACTTGAACTTTGATCCCTCACATCATAAAGGGCGTTTATTACTCCAGGCACACACTTCAAGTAATTTCAGGTATGAAGGAGGATTTGATACTACGCAATCATAAAGAAACTATACGTCATCAAGTAGTTCTACAATTATAGGAACCATTAAAAAAGTTTTAAATTGTTGCGAATCTGGCAGAATTTGGGAAGCAGTGCACGCAAACACATGCAGAAACACACACACCAGCAACCAACAGCCTGACAAACATCATTTTTTTCCATAAAACAAACCAACATGTATTTTACATCCCACTTCTGCCGAACATTCACAAAAAACTTTTTATGGTTCTTGCATATAGAATTCCACATTTCATGTCAAGAAATGTGGATAGGCTTTGTGTGAAATTACAAAAATATACAAACATGACCTCAAATACATGTTCTATTGGTAAAAAAACCCCAAAAACAAAACAGAAAACAAATCATCAGAAAGAATGAATTCATATTCTATATGCTTTGGATAAATCAAGGTATTCAAGTCTCGGGATGATGGTACAAACATGCTGGTTCTGTAAACGGACAGCTGCTTACAAGGGCCAGAGTTCCATCAGACAGGAGTTACGGTGGTCTTGAGTCTCTAACCTTTGTCTTATCCTTTGTTGGACTAACTCCAGGATTTCGTAAGGCAACCAAGACATCCAAGTCTTAGTTCTGGACTACTGAAATGGGATGTGGGTAAACAGTGTAGACATGCTTCAAGTGAACTCTCTGGAAACATGCCAGACTACTTTGGCCGAGCAAACATGGCAAATAAATGAACTTGTGTCCATTTGGAAGAGCACAGACGGTACTGACTGAGAATCATTGGACACGCAAAGACATCTAACACCAGGACATGACTTCAAACACTTAAATGATGATGGCCAAGAATTCTGGGATTCCAAAAAGTTTCAACGATAATGAAAATATATTTAACTATACACAATATTACTCATGTTAATCACACACTGTCAACGACAGCAACCTGAATTTAAAAGAACGGGCACTTAAAAGAAGCTCGACACAAAGTTCTAAGCAGCGACTCCATCAGTTTTAAATACATTACGTTACTCTCTTGTGGTCCATGATGGCTTTGGAGCGGTGCTGCCATCAGATGGGGGCAGAGGTGAATCTATAAGCAACTGTGAGAACGGTCCACAGTTCCCGTAATGGACTACACTGAGCTACTTGTGCTTAAACATGCAAAGCTCATGGAAACACAGCTAATAGGAGTTCAGCTAAAACATTCACTCAGTGAGGCACTTTAGCAGGACTCCAACAGATCCTGACAGATAAACCTGGATATGTGCAATCACACTCACCGGAAAACTACACAAAATGAAACCAAACCGAGTTACCATCATAAGCAGCTCAGCAAGATACGAAATAGTCTGTCGTTTTTTGTTAGCCCTGCAACAAACTGACAACATGTCCAGGGTGTGCTCTGCCTCTAGCCCTATGGCAACTAGGCTCCAGTCCCCCCACAGTAAGTGGAGAAAATGGATGGATAACTGTGAGGTGTTCTGCTAGAGGCGTGTGGGTGTGTGTTTTTCTTCATGCATCACACAAGCTTTCTAGTCTTTTGTCGGTTGGTTGCTGGCATCAAATTCAAAACATTTAAATTTTTAAATTTAAAGTCTTCTCTGGACAAGTTTAAAGTTTATATTAAAACCGTGAGAAAAAACTGAACTACTGTCTATATTTATCAGCATCTCTTCAAGCAGCTCATCAGAAAAGGATGCTGGGAGTGTTTGTGCAGTTTTGTGTATCTGACGCAGCAGAGCACAACAACTACTTACTACAATTAGTATTCAGTGCATTTACTGACTGGGATTTTAAACTGGAACATAAAAGTAGTGCTAAATGTGTGAAGGTTATGGATGATATTGGGCTCTTTTAAATACGCTGAACAGGTTATATTGTCCCAGTGTAGGAACACTGGAGTAAAGTTAGGGATTTACTGAGCTCCATCCAATTTCACTGCCAGCTGGAGACTCCCTCTCTGCCCTCATCAGAGTTCGCAGCTCTACTTTAATGGACTTATATTTAGACATCTACATTAGCAGCTAGAAGGTGACTATTCAAACTGAGGTCCTGTTAAGACACTACACTATCATAGAAGCACAAACCTGTCATGCCCTCTGTTAAAGTTCAGTCTGTTTTACTTTTATTATTTTCTCTTGTACATGTTCTAGAATTTGTGCTTCCAGCATCTCTATAAAAATAACACATTTTATATTAAGTATCTGTTAACTAGCTGATTCTCTGTTTTTTGTCGAGCACAAACATGAAAGTCGCCCAAGTCTGTTACTTCAGACTGAACATGTGGGGACATGTCTAAAAAGCCTGTTACAAATGGAGAATAACCGGTGGAGTTCTGCTGACGCCTGTGCTTCCAAAGCTCAGTTCCAGCCTGGCAGAAGCTCATTTGAAGTTGTTTAAGAAAAATAATTGTGAGTAGCAACACTCAAATTTAGTGCCACAGAATCATTGCTGATTTTTTTTTTTTTTTTTTTTTTTCTTAATCTGTTGCACTTCTCACCAAGAGAGAGAGACTGCACAGAGTAGCAGTTGGTCTGAAAGTGTATTTGTGCATCAAAAAAGAAAAAGAGGATCACAAGGCTGTCTCCTGAACCGTGTGAACCGTGTGAGCCGTCAGCCGGCACGAGGGCCGAGTTCTCGAATCCTCCGAGTCTTCCTCCTCCGTCTGTGCTCTGTCGCTCTCCATCTCCTTCTCCTCTGTGACAGTGTCTTCTTTGGAATAAGCTTCTCCGTTGCGGTCCTTTTGGGCCATTTGATAAGGCTGTGTCTTGATTTGTGTGGGCTGGCCAACAAGGGTAAACACACTATTGAAAGCACAAATACTGAAAGACGAACAAAAGTGGAAACAAGTGGAAATATGAGGTTACCTTCTGAGCCAGAGGAGTGATACAGCAAAGCTTTTCTCTGTAGCGGTCGGGCAGAAAAAAGAGCAACGTGCCCAGGACGGGGTACACTGTGCCCGGGGTCAGCTCCTTCTCTTTCATAGGCCCTAGTGTGATGACAGTAACAGGGTGATATGTGCAGAAGAGGTTGACTGGACCTTATCAGAAGAGCAAATTACAGTTTCTGTAACCCATAAACAGTGTTGGGGAGTAACGGAATACATGTACTGGTGTTATGTTTTGTATTTTAAATACCTGAGTAACTGCATTCCGTTACAGTTACCATTTAAAAAGGTGATATTCAGAATACAGTTACTTTGCTGAAATAAAGGGATTACACGGCTGTATTTTCCTGTTTCATATGTTCGGCTATGCCCTCTCTATTTTTGGTTTCCACGCCCCAAACAAAACACGCATTAAGAGGCTCTAATGCCTGTGTCTCAATCTCGCGGCCCATGCGGCCCGCATAATGACGTGAAGAAATATTTTAAAGAATTATTCACAAAAATGATTTAATATGAAGGCAATAGAAGCTGCATTCTTTAGGGCTATCTAAAGAATGGGCAGTGTAGTCCGTGCTGGAGGGAGAATGGACTGCCATACCCGTTATGTGTCTGTGAGCGCCAGGGAGGGCGAAAAAGGAAAAGTACGAGTTGTCATCGACCAGAAGCGGGAGATGGAAGCATGCAAATATAATAATAACCACTGCAGCCAAAAAGAGTGCCTGACGAGCCCAGTTGTAAGTAAGCTATTAAGACTCGACTGTACACTTTTTTTGTGTTTTTCTCTGAAACAATAAGTTTTGTTGAAGCAGCCTTTCAACGCCTCTCTCTGTCGGAGCCGCGGACATGTTTTATATACGCGTGAAACAGTTTTCTATACGAGATCGCTGCAAAAAGTGCAGCCTTACTGTAGCCGTCCACCCTACTGTTACTCATTTTATATTAAGATTTAAAAATCTTGTCGGTGTTGGTATGGTGAGTAACCTTCAGTAAAAGTAATAATTCACACAGCAATAGTATGTTCACGTAGTTTTAAAAAAAAAATGGATTACCTATTATATTATCAAAGTATTCAGAATACGTCTGTGAAGGTTCTCAGTCATCCAGGTCATCGTAGTCAAAGGAGCTTGCAAAGAAAAGCGTCTGGACTTCTTTAAGTTGCTTGAAGACGTTTCACC